ATCTGGGAAATCTGAGCACTAAAATAAATAATGATGGTTACAGATTACAACTCATAGAATAAAATAGTAGCCCATGGTTCAGACTAGTATGATAAATAAATGAAAAATTAGAAGTTTAATGAGGAAGGGGATGTTTACATAGTCTTAAAGTATCTCACCACAAAAAAAGCTTATCAATTACAATAGGAAAAAGAGTAACTTTAAAGTGAAAAAGCCTGGCAGATACCACCTTGACCAAGTAGTCAAAAGATAGTCATTATCAATGAGAAAAATAAAAACAGGATGCCATCTGACAGGATACACTGAGAACACAGTATCACTTCTGTGATATTCTTGTTAAAGATAATAATCTAAATCTAATTGTAAGGATCTATTAGACAAACTCAAACCATGATCTGGATTCATCCTAGTGTTTTAAAACTTGTTCCTCTATCCTTTATACTGCCTATAAATTGAAAGTTAATCAAAAGGATTTTGTTAGAAACAAGTTAAAAATTTTTGACATAGGGATAGTACTTCCAGTTTATAGGCAATATAGGAGTCAGAGAAACAAGTTTAAAGACACTAGAATGAATCCAGATTATGATACACTGTATAAGATAATTGGCTTAGTTTCTCCAACAAATTATTGTTCTTGACACACAATAAACAAAAGCAGATGAAGTTAATCACTCTAACCACCACCATCATCTACCTTGTCAGACCATTTCTTTTAGTACCTCAACTACAATAATTCTTTGACCCCAACTGTAACCTACACACCATGAGCCTACCACCTTCTCAATGTCTTCACTCCTTACCCAGTTCATAATCTATCACGCATAATTACAATTGCTCCCTTGCATACATCTTCAGTGCCCTTTGTCATTCTCAACTAGGAAACCCCAACTCTAGTTAAATGCACTATAATGCCTATTTCACATCTATAGCCACAAAGTTAACAATGGATAGAGAAAAAACACAATCATATTAACTAACTTTACTTTAAATTCATGTCCACTAACCTTAAGTGGGTCTTTGTCAGAGCCTAGAATTCTACCTTTTATCCATAATGTGTTTTTATTCTTTTCTATTTCTGCCCTTCTCCTTTCTAGTTAAATCTCCAAACCTACTCTTCCACCATCACTCTCAGTTGATGACCTTATTTCAAATTTCACTAAGGAAATAGTATTAAAAAAATGAGAAAAATCACACCTTTTCCACCTTCATATCTGCCTACCACCTGTATCCTTGCCTGCATGCTGTGCCTTGCCTCCAGTTTTGTAGAATGAGCCTTCTGTGCTCAAGTAACCAGCTCCCTTGTGTTTTAAATCCCAATCGTCTCACCCATTCAAAGAAATCACTCCTGCAATTGTCCTCTTCTCTCCTACATGTTCAATCTTTTCTTCCTACTAGACCATTCCCATCAGCACATAAACATGCTATAATTTCTCTCCCTTAGCTGCTGCTTCATTTTCCTGCTCCCAATTGCTGTCTCTGCCTCCTTTCCTTTTATTCTCTGTTGAATCCAACCCACATAGTTTTCCACCCTGACTAGGTCCATTGAACCTGTTCTTGCCAACTTCACCATGACTTCTATGTTGCTATGTAGTCAAGTTTCAGTGGTCTTCTTACTTGATCATTTCACCATCACACCATTTAACACACCTAATATCTTCCCTTTCTTGAAATTCTTTCTTTCCTTGACTTCTGAGACAAAATTCTCTCTTGACTTTCCTACTTCCTGCCTTCTTACTTAGTGTTCTTTGCTGTTCCTCCTATTCTTCTTGATCCCTAAATGCTGGCTTACCCCACAGCTCAGTCCTCTTCTCTGCTATAGGGATACTCACTTTAATGGTGATTTCATTCAGTCTTATGGCTATAATTTTCAGCATTTTGATGAAGATTGCCCAATTTTTATCTCCAGCCCTGGAACTCCATGTTATGCCATCCATCTGACTAACCTACATTGCCACTTGGATGTTGATTATGTATCTCTAAATATGTCTGAAACCATGCTTTTGATTTCCTGCTCCTTCTATAGTTTTCTACATCTTGGTATATGGTCCCTCCACCTTTTCTGCTGCTCAGCCCAAAAAAGTTTGGAGTCGTCCTGGACTCTTCTTCTCTCACAGACCCCATCTGATCCATCAGTAAATTCTGCTCTCTCTTCCTTCCAAACATATCAGGAGTTTTGCTCACCACATCTACTGCTACTATCCCAGTCCAAACCACTACCATCCCTTTTCTGTATTATTTGAACTGCCTCCTTAGTGGTCTCTCAGTTTCCATCCTTGCCTCTCCACACTGTGCTGTCATCACAGCTGCCAGAATAATACTTTAAGAAGATAAATCAGATCATGTTACTTTTACCTAAAATTTCCCAATGACATCCCATTTTCTCTGGAATCAAAGTCCTTACAATGGTTGACAAGTTTCTATATGAAGGAGTATTCTGCTATCTTACACTTGAAATCTTATCCACCACTATTCTCCCTCTCTCACTGATTCTAATCCAGCACACATGTAAAACATTCTATAATTACATTATTAAAAATTTTTATCTAAAAGACATGAAAAAATAAAGGACTGCTTTCTTTTATATTACTCTGCTTTATTCATATGTCTGTATGCATTATCTCTCTGGGAACAAAAAATCACTTTACTAGCTAAGTGCATCATTAAACTTTCACACATATTCATGGACTTTCTTTCGCACAAAATGAGCACCTAAAATGTGGATAAAAATGGAATTTATTCTCATACTGGATGACTTTCAAACCAGTGAAAAAATATGCACTGGACAATGCTGTCAAGATATAATAACTAGCTAGCAGTTTGGAGAAAAAAGAAAAGCTAGATACTTATAGTCTACTCTTTGAAAACAAATTATATTATAAAGAGAAGAAAAAGCTAAATGAAAAAAATAAGTAAAAATAATATGAGAAAATAAAATATTTTTTTATGGGCATACTTTCTGGGCATACTGGCTCACGCCTGTAATCCTAGCACTCCGGAAAACCAAGGTGTGAGGATCGCTTGATGTCAGGAGTTCAAGACCAGCCCTGAGGCCAGGTGCGGTGGCTCACACCTGTAATCCTAGCACTCTGGGAGGTGAGGCGGGAGGATCGCTCAAGGTCAGGAGTTCGAAACTAGCCTGAGCAAGAGTGAGATCCCATCTCTACTAAAAATAGAAAGAAATTAATTGGACAACTAAAAATATATAGAAAAAATTAGCTGGGCATGGTGGCACATGCCTGTAGTCCCAGCCACTTGGGAGGCTGAGGCAGTAGGATTGCTTGAGTCCAGGAATTTGAGGTTGCTGTGAGCTAGGCTGATGCCATGGCACTCTAACCCAGGCAACAGAGTGAGACTCTGTCTCAAAAAAATAAATTAATAAAATAAAGACCAGCCCTGAGCAAGAACGAGACTTTGTCTCTACTGAAAAAATATAAAAATTAGCCAGGCATGGTGGTACATGCATGTAGCTACTCAAGACTGAGGCAGTAGGATTACTTTAGGCCAGGATGAGGATGTAGTAAGCTATGATGATGCCATTGTGTTCTAGCCCCAGGCAACACTGACAGACCCTGTCTCAAAAAAAAAAAAAAAAAAAAGAAAAAAAAAAAAAAACTAAAATACATTTTACAAGCTGAAAAAAAATTTCTTATTGTTTATTTGGGACAAAAGATTCACATCCTTAATATAGAGAGAAAATTTAGAAATCAATAATAAATATCTCAACAGAAAAATGGTCAAAGGACGAGAAATGTATAATTTGCCATAGAAAAAAATAAAATGAAAACATACAAAAATATATTCAACCTCCAACGTAATTAAAGGATGCAAAGAAAAACAATGAACTACATCTCTCAATCTATGTAGTTGGAAAGATTTTAAAAAACAACATTCAATAAGCTGTCTCACTTTTGGAGAGGTTATATACTGGCCCTAAACGTTTCAGAAAAGCAGTTTAGAACGAAGCATCGAAGTTGTTTTAGAGACAGGGTCTTGCTGTGTTGTCCAGGCTGGAGTTCAGTGGAATGGCCACAGCTCATTGTAACCTCAAATTCCTGGGCTCAAGTGGTCCTCCTGTCTCAGACCCTTGAGTAGTTAGGACTACAAGCATGCACTACCACATCTGGCTAATTTTTAAATTTTTTATCTGTAGAAATGAGGTTTTGCTATGTTGCCCAGGCTGGCCATGAACTCCTGGCTGCAAGCAATCCTTTTGCCTTGGCTTCCCAAAGTGCTGAGATTATAGGCATGAGCCACCATGCCCCAACATAAATGTATATTTTTTGATCCATAATTTTCACTATTGAGTATTTATCCTAAGGATATAATCAGACAACTGTTCAAAAATGTACATATAAGAATTTCCACAGTATTATTGATAAATTCAAAATAATGGAAATAGCCTAAATATCCATCAACATAGGATTATTTAAATCAAATTTTAGTATATTCATATACTAGGAATTTATATAGGTACTAATGATTGAAATGAAAATATTCCATAATATATTAAAGTGAAAAAAATATAAGTTTCAAAACAGCATATATGATTCCCAAACCTCCAGTTAGGATTTCAAATTAATTTTCTCCTTCTTTGTAGTTTTTTAATATTATTTGGATTTTCTATATGTGAGCTATCTTTTAAAAACAGGCAAAATAGTAAGTGTATTTTTATTTTGAAAAACAGGTGAGTACTGGAAAATTTTGGATACACAGAGAGGAACTTCTGCCTGTTGGGAACTTAAACTCTTCTTTTGTGGTCTCAGAACAGTCTTGTGGGAATGGTCAAGAGACTATTTAGTGCTTACTGTTGAATGCTCAGTTCAGTATACTCTGCATATAATTCAAATTTCAAGATAGCCTATATTCCTGATATATTCTGTTAAAGTACACGATGGTGGCATTTTCTTTTGGCTAAATTCAACAGCATAAAATATAAAGACATTTTTAGAAAACTTTTTCAAATATAATAAACTCATAAATTAACAAAGTAAAAGGATTACCTATCTCCCTTTGGTTTTCTTTTTTGTAGTGTCTTCCCTTTGGGTCTTCTTTCGCTTCCTAAGCAGGGGCTCCCACCAGGTCCTGTTACCCGTATTGATTCAAGGCCTTTGGAAGATTTTTTAAATGTGAATTCCACTGGTTCTCCTTCTTTTAGGCTTCTAAATCCTTCCATGAATAGTTTGCTCTGTAAAGAACAAGAGAGGGAAAAAAGAGATCATGATTATCATTGCTTTATAAATTATCTCCACAATTTTAAGATTAACAAAGCAAGATATTCCATTACAAAAATATAAAGTCCTTTTTTTTTAAGCTCAGTGAAACACACCATTTTAAAGTTTTCTATCACAATGCTGGCAATGGTAGAATAAACTACCAGCATTTTTTAAAAAAGGTAATTTGGCAGTACTTAGAAAAATTAAAATGTGCATATTCTTTGATCCAGCAATTCCACTTCAGTGACTATACTACAGACATACTTACACAAAGTTTCAAAAAAAGATATCACAGCATTGCCTTTAAAAAGTTATAACTACCTTAATGTCCATCAATGGGACTGAATAGATAAATTATAATAGAGTCAAATAATATAACATTAAGCAATTAAGAGAAGTTATTTTTAGATCTATATGCACTGATATGGGAAGATAAGCATATAATATTGTTGAGTAAAAATATTAAGGTTAAAGAACAAAATATCTACTAAAATGCCATCTATGTAAAGTTTTTAAAAGATACATGTTTATTTATGTGTTAAATAGAAATGGGGTCTGGAACAAGACATTAAATCATAAAGTATTGTTTTTTCCAGTCCTGCTCTGAGAAAGTAGGAACGATTTCTGGTATACACATTACCGAACTGTTTTAGCTTTTTATAATATGAAAAGATACTAATTCTTACAATTTGAAAGATAATTAATTTTTTACAAAAAAGAAAAAAATGCTCCCAATTACAAAACTGTAACCTTAGTTTCAAATATGTATTGGCTCTTTCAATCCTTCTCTTTTCATTAAAGTCAATGTGCCAATTCAAAATATACTAAAATAATTAAATCATTAATTAATATTTATTTCTGCAAACTCCTTTTGTGTACATTTTATAGATTTAATTTGTAAAATCATGCAGCTTTAAAAGACTTTTCTGAATTTGAGGGGGGCAAGGAAGGAAACAGTTTACTGTAGAAAACCTTAGCTCAAGTTTAGTTGTTTAAATAAACTGCTATATAGCTTTGAATGAGCCATTTAAGCTCTTTTCTGTTTATTTGTAAATTCAAGGGATTTCAGTTCTGAGTAACAGTGGTTCTGAAAGACTCCATGAGAAAAAAGTTTTGTGGTCAAATAAGTTTGTAAAATGCTCTATGTTGTTTCTCCTTGGTTGAGGTACATTAGCAATATTAAAGTCTCAGAAATGTTATTCTTTCCTCCACCCCCACCAAAATAAAAGTCTCCTTTAACTGTGTTTAACCCAGCAATTTCCCAACCTAGTTGATCCCAGAGCCCCTTCTTTGTAAGTACAGATGACTAATATACTCAAGGAAATATTAGGCCAGAAAATCTATACCCCTCCCAATTCCATGATTCTAAAGGCAACTAAATAACTACATAACCAAATGATTACATGGGACAAATAACAAAATTTCAAAATCCATTGCAAAACGAGAATATTCATTGTGAAAGTAAGACAACCCATGAAACCAGGGGTATTAACCTGTTTCTAGTGCAGGTCACCTGACACAGTGAAATCCTTCATGCGGAAGTCTGCAATTTGGCAGCACCTTTTCTGCTGTCTGATGGGATGTAGAAAAAAAAATCACAACTGCCTGCACTCTTTAAAGTAACAAATTTTTATTTTTAAAGCTATTTTAACATTTCTACAGCATCTTCTCATTTTTTTCTCCAAACCCTTCTCCTCACCAATTCTAAACAATTCTTTTGCTTTAATTTCCATTCTCTTTCCCCACTCAAGAAAGAGCAGATTATTTCTTTTAAATCAGAGGAAGTGGAGTATAGTTCAATTATTGAAACCATGAGAGCAAAATGACAGCATTTTAATTAAAAATATCATGTGTTCATATGTTTTCTATCTGTAATAAAATTTCTATCACTTATTTATCTCTTCATAGTTCCTAGAGCACTTTCCTAAGAACTAGTGCATAGTTCCTAGTGCACCAAATCAAACTGGTACACTTTCACCAACTTAATTTGGTTTCATTTTCTATTATTACAATTTTTGATAGGTATAAAGTGAACTTCTTTTCCAAATCTAAAGTAGAATTCCGGCTCTTACAAACCACTAAATTCTGGCTATTCTTCATGATATTTGGAAAGAATACTTTAAAATATTCTATCATATATGCTCCCCACCACCAAATTAGTACATAAGGCAATTTAGATTCATAATACTTGACAAAAAAATTAATGAATATCCATAAGAAACTAAAATGGCTTTGCAAGAAAATGACAAGGAGTCACTGAAAATGTTCTCTCTTTGCTATTATACCAAAATAGCTGCTACATAGGTGGGAAAGATCTGTCAAAACGTGGGGAATTAGAACATTATATTTGTTCACAAAAATCAACTTCTCCCTTTGACTTGTCAATTTTTATTAAAGGTTCCTCCATTTTCCAGTCATACCAGTTCTAATCCTTAATTTTATCCAAACGATTTATTGAATCTTGTGCATTCTTACTTCATAATCTTTCTTTAATCTGTTCCATCCATTTCAATGAACTGCCATTATTCTATTTCAGAGCTTAACTATTTTCTGCCGGGACAAGTGTAATAGTTTCTTCACTGATATTACAGCATCAAATTGTTACTGCCCAAACCCGTTCATTACCTGTCTCAGCCAATACACTGAGACATCAGGGTTTACAACAGAAAAAGACTTTAATATTGCGGGTGCCATATGAGGAGATGGACATTCTCAAATCTGTCTCCCCAAGAATTTTTGGGCTAGGGGTTTTTTGTTTGTTTAAGACAGGGTCTCACTCTGCTGCCTAGGCTGGACTACAGTGGCATCATCATAGCTCACTGCAGTCTCCAACTCCTGGTCTCAGGGGATCCTCCTGCCTCAGCTTCTCAAGTAGCTGGGGCTACAAGCACATACTATTACACCCAGCTAATTTTTTAAGTTTTTTTTTTTGTAGAGATAGGGTCTTGCTACCACCAGGATAGTCTCGAATTCCTGGCCTCAAGAGATCCTCCCGTGTTGACCTTCCAAAGTGCTATGATTATAGGCATGAGCCACCACCCCAGCCCAAGCCAGGGTTTTTAAAGTCAGTTTGATGGACAAAGGGCTAGGGAATTAGGTCTGTTGATTGGCTGGGAATGAACTCATAGGGTTGGGAAGCAGAAATTTTCTACTTGAGCTGAGTCAGTTCCTAGGTCAGAAGACCAGTTGAGTTGGTTTCTTGGTATGGGCCACTAGTCTGACTGGGTCAGCTGGTCCACTGGAATGCAGGGTCTGGAAGATATCTCAAAGACCAGCCTTAGGTTTCATAATGGTGATGTTATCTATTGGAGCAATGAAGGAAGCTAAGAATCTTTATGATCATCAGCTGTGTGACTCCTGAGTAGTAAGCAACTATGGGAAAGCAAGCTAGGGAACAATGGCTGGAGATATATATGTTTGGTTTTTTTCTTCTCATTATGCCTATACCTTTGCAGATTTCAGACCCCTACCACAGATTCCACCTTACAGCCTTTTATTAATTTTGAAAGGGTAGTTTCAAACTTGCCTCCCTACTCTACAACATCTTCCATACTTGCATATTTTCTCTCAATAAGTCTTAGTCTGTTATTCTCCTATCTCAAAAAATCTACAATACCCCTCTTTGGTTATAGATAAGATCCTTCATAATCTTACCTTTACTTATATTTTCCACCTCCTTTCCCATTACTCTAAAACACAACCCCTCCATTAGTAAAACTGGCTGACTTGTACTTCTCTGAATATTTTCTGATCTCTGTATTTCAGATTACTCTGGTTGAGGATACATCCTCCTAGTCATGACTGTATATTAAAATCTTACTCAAACTTCAAAGTATAGTTCAAATGATCCTTTACTGAATCATCCTTAATTGCTCCAATTTGAAATTCTCTCCTCTTTTACTTTACTGATTCTTCTACATAGTTTTTACAATATAACTGTGTGATACAAATATTTGTGTATGCCTTACATCTACGTAAGGCCAGGGATTGTGATGTATATCCTAGTATTTTCAAAAGGGCTTAGCATAATGCCTGCAAATAACTATCATTCAATAAGTACTTAAAAGAATTACAGATTTAGTATCAATAAAATCCCTAAAAAATTATGAGACAATACCCATTTTAATAAACATGGACTAAGCTCTAAAGGGTTGAGTTGCTCATGCAAAGTTAAACATTCTGGCTCCCACTTCTACTACATAAAATAAGTTCTCTTATTTTTGATGTCCAAGCAACACTGTAAATGTTTTATCAGAAATAAAATGCTGAAAGGATCATAATGGTTCCAAGTAATAGCACTATTCTCTGGCTCCATTCAGAAACTAATATGAATCTATTTTCCTTGTTATTCCTTCTACTCACATTTTGTAAGGAAATATCATCTACTTTTGATACACCTCACAATTCATGAAGTTGTGCCTATCCAAACCAAGAATGCAGATTTATGTCTATTTTTGTTTAATTCACATGTAACATCTATATAAGCCTGAACTTTTGGCTTCTGGGCTTACATTTTCTTCTGTGCCATTTGTTTTGACAAAATAAAGACGTATTCTCTATAGGACAGAATCATAATTATTAAATAAATAAATAAAGGAATGACTAAATGAATGAAGAAGAATTTAGAAGAAACTGCTGACATGCCTCCTAAGATAGCATGTACTTACAATAAGACAAGCCAATATTGAATGTGCACATATTAAGTTAGATCATCTAACACCTCTAATTTGTGTTCCTCTTTCTCTAACCAAGTAAGGTTCCTTTTTCTCCCTCTTCCCTTTATTCCAATTTTTAAAATTCACCATGGCACAAATTTAAAAAATATGAAAATGTTGGCTTATAACTTCCCTGCTATACTCCTTTTCCTCCTCACAACCATTTAAAAATAACTTTTTAGATGGCATTTCTTTTTCTGTTAGTTTACTACCATTTTGATGGCTTTTACAGAGTAACATGAAGCATCTCTTGCTCA